CTGGTCGCTAACGTGCAGTTGTGCGGTCGCCTTCTGAGGTGGTGAAAAACTTCCCTCTTCTCTCTCCTGCGAAATTAATTGATTCCTGCTTGCCTCGGGGGGGTCTTGTGAGCCCCCTCTCACAGCCTTTCCCGCTCCTGCGCGTTGCTGGTTGCTCTTGCTAGTTAATAGCTTGTTCCTCAGTGTCTCGGGTGTCTTAAAACGAATGGAGCTGATGGGGTGCCCGCGCTCGGTGTGCCTTACAGGCCTTCCCCGTCCGCTGGCCTGCCGCGAGCGAGCTAGGAAGCGGGGTGAGGTGGTGTTTTTCCCTAGGCAACCGAAGGTCTGCGGTTAATTATTTAGTGCTCAGGTGAAAGGAGATAACTGGGACTGGTGTGGGAGGGGAGTAGAAGCATATTTTCGTAGGAGGAGACAAACGCTCAAAAGGATACGTGAAAAGTACAGAAAAGCAGTGTGAGCTAAGGTCAGATTTTGTTCAAGCTCGAGATGAGTAGAAATGCTTACAAGCTGGTTTTTATTCTAGGAAGCAGTTCTTTAGTCCTGGAAACATTTTTATAAAACTAGAGCATCTCCTGTGGTTATGATAACCCAAAGGCTGCAGCGCTCTGTCAACCACACTACAGGTAAAAAGTTATGATGAAAAGGACCCTTTTGCATTGTCTAACAGTGGAAAATGGATGGGAAAAGGAAAAAAAAAAAAACATAGTGTGGTTTGTGAGTGAAAACTTTTTATGGTTTAAAGCTTTAGTGCCATTATAATAAACATTCTACTGTATTTCAGGTAAATAGCATTAGAACATTGAATTAATGCAGTCTGTTCTTTGTGTACTCCTGCATATATTAAGCATGTACTCTTACTCAAATAGGGGGAGGTAGTCTGTGGGAAAAGAACTCAAAATATCAATGAAAGGAATGGTTCAAAAACCACAGGAAAGAAATCAGTGTTGGTGACTATTATTGTCTCTAAGCTTAATTTATAGCAGCTGAGCATGTAAATATGTTTTGCAGTTATGAAATTATATTGACAAGTAAATACAGAAATTATTTTCTAAAATAACTGTAATAAGTGACTCTGAAAACGTGTAGGCTGAGAATTATACATCCCCTTTTTAAGGGAAAAAACAGTTTATTCTCATAATCATCTCCACCGTAAAGATAAATCAGCTATAATCCTGTAGTCCTGAAGATAATATTCTGTTTAAGAAGGAAATCTAAATCTAAATATAAAAATAATAGCTGAATATAAAAGCAATAGCTGAATGCTTTAGCAGATGAGAGGCTTTCAAAGCACATAATGAATTTCACTGAGAATTGAGTTTCAAAGATCAGTTCGTAGTGTCTTGTAAAGAGTCAATGTGTCATTTCTGTGAGTAGAAACCCTCGTGTAGATTTATGTAGATATTGGTAAACATATGAACTCAAATTCGTGGGTGGTTTCTTCCTAGTAACAGTTGTTACTAGCAGTAACAGCCAAAAAGTTGGCTTGTATGGGTCTTTGCTTAAGAGGATTGAGCTTTCTGCCTTGTTTACTTTCCTTTCACTTTATTAGAGGGAGCTATCAGGTTATATTTACTTTAAGTATTTGTTTTTTCTAGCTTTGGTTCCAGTTGGTAGACCTGGACTCTTTATTTATTCAAAGAACTACTGGAAGAAGTAGTAAGGGCTGCTGTTTTGGAATAGAAAAATAGGGATATTAGTCCATCAGTATTCTTTGGATCATTGTCTGCATCACTGTAGTTGAGAACTGTAGTCATCCTGATCCCTGAGGGGAATACAGGACTTCTCTAGCTGTCTGAAGCAAAACATTTCCTATTTATCAATACTGTGTTTATGGAATGGAGTTGGAATTCTCAGCAGCTGAGTATAGTCATCTAATATGTCATAATTAGTAATAAATGTAATACAACCTTTAGACATGCAGACGTATTTCACAGCAATTACAGTGGTGGTTCCTTTACTCAACCAACCTGGTCATCAAGCGTGTATACCCTCAATTCTGTTTCTTTTGCTACACACCTTACCTCCTTAAGTCTGTGGTTGTTCCTAACCAGCTTACTCATTTCTCAGATGAACAGCTGATCTCTTTCCGCATGTAATATTATGAATCACCTTGTCACTTTTTACTTGCGCAGTATCAAATTTCCATGTAGGTGTAAACAGGAAAAAAAGCAGAGAATTCTGTTTTCTGCAAGTAGGTAGGACTGGACTGGGAGTGGGGAATAATTAGATCCTACTGCCCCTTTCATTTAACTACCAGAGAACTCTGCCTTTGGTTCTGAAATAAGTATTCCCACTGATAGCACAAAACAAGTCAGAACACTGCTTCCCACCTTGCCTTGGGACCACACATCATCTTTACATGCTACAAGAATTATGCATTTATTTTTTAATCTCTGCTATATGAAATACTCATAGAATCTCCATGTTTGCATTTCTGTCTTTTATCTGGCCATATTTCCATTTCTCATTAATCATTCATAGAATAGAATGATTTTAGAATTCCTTCTAAAATGTGAAGCTGTTCTTGGAACCAGCATCCTGGAGTCACCGGTAGCAGTACAATCTGCTGAACTGCAGCTGCAGTTTCTTGCAGCACCCTTAACTTTTGTAAAGAACTTTCATTCTAAATGCCTGGAAAAAAAAAATCAGGAATCTGAGAGCTTGAAAGTTGGTATCTGTTTTCAGTCACGCTGAATTTGCATAAAGAGCTTCGGTAGCCCCTTGGGAAGGTGAAATCAGAATCACAACAGACTCCTTTGTGTTGAGCTGGATTCTTTCAGCATCCAAACCTGAACAGGTATCACGATTTCTACGAAGTTGTTAGGAAAAAAAAAAAACCTCAATAATATTTTTAAGCTATTATTTTTGTCTTATTTTAAATATAGCTTTAAAAGTCTGTTTAAAGTATAACACATTCATGTAATGGACATTTAATGGTACTGGACCTTTTCCCCATAATTAATATCTGAATAGGATGTTTTATACAGAAATAAGCTCTTAGTGAAATCTTTTTGCCTGTGATGGAAAGTAAAAGATTTCTATCTCCAAGAAATTTTAAATGATGGCATTTGTTTTGAGCTATTTTGGGGCTGAGTGTAATGAGTGATTAGTGTCTTCAGAGTTTTTTTCTGACGCAAGTTTTAATTAAAATGTGCAACCATCTGTAGTAAGTAGCAAGTTCTATTTGCTAGTTATATGGAAGGAATAAAAAAATCTGTTTTTATAGTACAGGTTTGATTGGTTAAAGGCTGGGCATCGCTAGGTGGTTTGGGCCTGTAAAAAATTGGACTGCAAATAGGACAGGATAAATCAACACCCATAGGTAACGTGAAAATGCAACCTACTTACTTTGACTTTAAAACAATCTTTTCCTCAGAAAGAATGTCGTGGCTTAAACCCAGCCAGCAAAGCAAAACAAGGAATTCATTCACCACTTCCCATCAGCAGGCTGGTATTCAGCCATCTCCAGGAAAGCTGGGCTTCATCGCACGTTATGGCCGCTTGGGAAGGCAAACGCCATCACTCCGAATGTGGCCCCATTCCTTCTTCCCCCAGCTTTATATGCTGAGCATGATGTCATGTTGTATGGACTATCCCTTTGGTCAGCTGGGGTCAGCTGTGTCCCGTCTGTGTCCCCTCCCAACTCTTTGTGCGCCCCCCGGTGTTCCCGCTGGTGGGGTGGGGTGAGAAGCAGAAAAGGCCTTGGCTGTGTAAGCACTGCTCAGCAGTAACGAGAGCATCACTGTGTTGTCACCACTGTGTTCAGCACAAATACAAACACAGCCCATTTCTAGCTGCTATGAAGAAAATTAACTTTGTCCCAGTCAAAACCTGCACAAAGAAGCAACAAAATTGTTTCCAGGTGTGCCTGCCCTCAGACCAGTGGGTGTTTTGACCTGACAGCTAACCATTCTATGACAGCTGGTTGTGCCTCACTCCAGTTGCTCAGAAACGTTTTCTTTCTCCAGATGTACATTCACAGCTACTTCCCCCCACCCACATGTACACACACACCCCCCCAGATTCTCTTGCTTAGTTAGTACAAACTGGTAGTTAAAAGCATCTTAGATTTGCCTGTTATTTGCACTCAAACTCCAGAAGCTTTGTACAAAGTAGCCTATGGGGTTTTTTTCTATATTGTTGTAGGACAATTCCCTAGAAAGCAGAATGTATTGCTCAGAAAAGCAAAATGCAATTCCTGTCGCTGTGACGTGGTGAAAGACAGAACACACTTTTAAAGAGAGATTGCTACTGGAAATTTTGTGAAATACAAATAGGTGCAGCTGGTTACACTTGTGGGTAGCAAAGTGTTTTGTGGGATAAACTGCTTCACCTGACAAATGTACATGAGGTAGTCTTGTTGGTTTTGCCTAGAGATGCTGGCTTGAAGATGGATAAATTCTCTTCAGTTCTGCAAGTATGGTGTGACACAGCTAGGGTTAAACATTGTCCTTTTTCTAATCTGTATTCCTTCCTTAGAAATTAATTAATATAAAAAGTGTGTATGAGTTTTAAAAGGTGTTACTTGCCTGGGGCTTTTCATTATGGAATCTGCACTCAGCATCTTATTCTTGGCCCAAGCTAGTGTAAATTTCTTGGTCTTTAAAGTGTGTGTTGAGACTCACTTGTTTACTAAGATTTCTGGAGGCTTAGCCACAGTAATGCTTTAAGACATATTTCAATTCAGAGTTTTGCTTAAACCCTAAAACCTACTCTTATTTAAGAGTAACTGTGGAGTTGATTATGTTTTTGTTCTGGAGAAAATGTATTAGAGGCCAAAATTAATTCTTTATTTTTACAAGAAACTGGGGAGAGAAAATATGTGTGAATGTATTGTGTCTG